CCACCATGCCCAGTCTCAATCGCCTTCTCAGTGCACCCCGGGGGTGGGGCCAGCACGGCAGGTCTGGGGATTGAACTCCCTGCCACTGCATCTACCTAAGCAGGCACTTTAATCCACTGAGCTATTTGGCCAGCCCCAGAAAGGCTAAATTAATAGGTCCAAATTTCATTATCTCCTATGTGCACAGGACTTACTATTATTTAATCATGTATCTGAAACTCAGTCCAGTAATGTTGTGACGAAACAGACATACATGTCAGAGGGTGAAATAGGCTCCAGCAATTTTAGTCTAATTTGAATAATTTGCATGAACACTTTTTTTTGTCTGTTTCAAAGCTGTAGGGGCTGGGGTGATAACTCAGTAGCATAAGCGCTTGCCTGGCAAGCACAAGGGCCTGAGTTCAATCCCTGGTTGCATCAATAAATAAATAAAAAAAAAAAAAAAAAAAAAAGCAAATAAATACATGGAAAAATCTTCAGCATCACTGATCATTTGAGAGACGCAAATGAAAGCAACACTTAGATTTTATCTCACTTCAGAAAGAATGGCTATTTTCAAGAAATCATCCAATAACAAACACTGGTGGGGCTAAGGGGAAAATAGAATCCATTATCCCTGTTGGTAGAAGTGTATATTGGTGTGAATCAGTATAGAGATTCCTCAAAAACACTAAAATAAGATATTCCATTTGACCTAGCTTATTCTCTTTTTGGTATCTTTCCAAAAGAATTAAAAGCATCATTCCACAGCAATATATGTCCATCCATGTTTATAGGAGCACAATTTGTAGCAGCTAAATCTTGGAAATAGCCCAACTGTCCATCAGTGAATGAATGGATAAAGATGTGGGTTTTTTAATATAATTGTCTACTACTCAGCCATAAAGAAGGATAGACTTGAGACATTTCTAAGGTAAATGAATGCACTTTGGCACCATGGTCTCAAGTGAAATAAATTTGACACACCTGTGTAAATATTGCACTTTTTCTCTAATGTGAGAAATTGAAAGTGTAAATAAGGACCAAAAAGTATAATAGCTATTTTGCAACAGGAAGAAAATGTTAATATATGAAGAAGAACAAGGGAAGAGAGAAGAGAAGAGAAAGGAAGGGAAATTTTTTTTTTAAAAAGTATAAAAGGAAAAAATAGAGACAAAAGCTTTATAAAGAAAGAGCAGAAGTGCGGTTGAACAAAGAGGAGAGGATTGGGGAAAAGGTGACTTGAGATATATTATATACAAGTATAAATTCTCTATGATGGATGATATAATTATGTATATCTAAGGTGTCATACAATATGTATATCTAAAATGAACCAATAAAATTAATTTTAAAAAATCAAAGCTCACAAAAGTCAGTAAATCTTTCCTACTTAATAGAAAAAATTATCATGAAAAAATATTTTATAAAACATAATTTATACATGTTGCTAATTTTTCCCAGAAGAACAAATGTTAAGATTCTCCTATCTAGGAATTTTCCACTTAAAGACTAACAACATGGATATGGTGACACACGTAGAAAACAATATTAAACAAAATTTGGCTAAAGAGGACAGGATATGCATCACACACCTGAAATGAGAAAAGGGCAAGAATACCTAAAATTTAAACTACGAACCAATATGTTCTTGCATCTGTAACATTTCCAGAGAGATGGGCTGTTTCTACATTTAATTATTCACAGGGAGATTTTATAACCCAGAGAAGCAAAGCAAAGCATGGATTTAATTTTCATTTTGACTTCTGTTTATTTTTCCTTCACATACATTTCTCCCACTGAGAAAAAAAAATGCCGTATGTCATAATGCTGCATAGCAAGCCTAGGAAGTGACAAAAAAAATGGATCAATTATACATTTTCCTCGAAAGTATTTACTGTAAACATTTGGTTTTAAATTTTAGTAATTCACATTTCAATGTCACACTCATAGATGACCATACTCTAGTTCTTATTTTTACCGAACCACATTCGAGTTAAAAGATAAACATATAATTCCAGGAAAAATGTTCCAAATTGTGGAAACTACAGCAACTGTCTTTGTGTTACTGCTTTCCTGCCCTTACCATAATTATTCAAATCCCCCCATCAAATTATTCCATTTTAATATAAGAAATTCAGCACACTTATACTTTTTTGTGTGTGCTTTTCCTTTGTAAGTTATGTTTCTAGTCATGCAAAAATTTAAGGAACATAATAAAGTCACAGAAAACATATGATGATGCAAATGAAAGCCTTAGACCAAGTGTACATAAATATATCCATGGAGTTATCCCTCTGACTCCAAGATAAAAGCACAGAAATCATGAAAGAGTTCTTCGGAGCCCAATGGGCTTACCCTTCCCTCTCTCTTATCAGATGCGTGTCTACGGTCACCTTTCCAGCAGTACAGATAATACTATCTTTATCCTGACAGCTGTTAAAAATAGCACCCATCAAATCCCTTTCTTTCCACAAATCTAAAGAGGCAGTATATGAAGTACAAAAGCTAAAACCAGGAACGATTTTAAAGTCTTTTTCTTCTTAATCTGTGGGAAGATTTTTCCAACATTACTCTATTTACCATCCTATAGGAACAAAAGAAAACATACCATCGACTGCTTATTAATAAGGCCTGTTTCTGCTCTCTTTCTCTCTGACAGTTCACAAGGTTTGAGTCGAAGCTTGAAGTTTAGCAGAATGTGGGCCTTTAATAAACGACGTTTTAAATCAGCAGTGTCCTGAAGTCAAATCGGACGGCAAAAATTTCGGCTACTCAGCCATCAAAACTGCCCATCTCTTTCTCCTTTCTCCTATAATTTTTTTTGTTGTTGTTGTTAAATAAAGGAGCAGAAAAACCGATACCTCCCAACTGTAAATACTTTTGTCTCTAATGTCCCTTCTGGATTAAGCATATGGCTCCTCCTCCCCCACCCCCGCCCCTAGCTCTCTTCGTGTAGCCAAATAAGATAAAGACCTGTGTCAGGCCTGCTTCATGCCTGCAGGGGAACCAGCTTCACAGGCCCTTAGCAGCCTGCATTTCTTGCAAAGAGAAATTTAACAAGTGAAAGCTAACATATATGCTTCACAACTGTGTGATTGTAGCAGGCATTTTGCAAAACGGCAGTGATAAGTAAGCTGAGAAAAGGGAGACAGTTGCCAAAACAAGGGTCAAAAGGATAGCAAAGTGTGCTTGAATGAGCAGGGAACATCCCGTCACAGTTTGGGAGAACCTAGACTATATTCAGTACAAAAACAAGCATCCTAAGGCAAGAAAAAAAAAATAGTACTATATTAATTTAACCTGCTGCCAGGGCCAATCTTAACTAAACGGATTCAAGCTCCCTCTTTCTCAGGAAAAAATCGTTTTCAAGTGAGAAAACATAATTGTGTGCACAGTTTGTGCAACAGTCTCCTCATCACGTAATTGAATCCTAAACCTAAATACTTATTCTCAATCTTTCTTTGCCCTGCTTACTCTTTCAAACATAATCAAGTGACTAAGGCATGATTTAAGGCACAAAGATTTGGCTGTAGAGGTAGAAGAAATTAGACATCATTTATATCCTTTTGTCTCCATCCTCCTTTCTTTTATACTCTCAAAGCTACTCATCACAGAGTCAATTCATACAGACATTTTAGAAAGAAAAAACCCTCTGGACTATTCCCATTGTTTGCCTAAGGTTAGCTCTCATGATTTGATTGCATGAAGGAAAAGCAACTCCGGAGGTACACTAAATAGCAGAGACCAAGATCCGAGAATTGGACTCTGCAAAGAAAACACTACAACCAGTTTACTGGATTGCTTACCTAAATGGTCTTGTACACCTAGATAAACGAGGGTCTAACAGCACCAAGCTTTAAATCTTGCTACCTGTTTCCCTGCTCTGGCTCTTACAGGGTCAATAGCTGAGGAACTTTAAATGGAATTAAACTCTTAAGCATGAAAAACAAGAGTTGTAACCAAATACAAAGTTAGGGGGGGAAAAAAGAGTATAGATTCTGTAAGACACTCCCCTAAGGGAATCTCCAGAAGGGCTGTCTGATACCTCTTGCTTCCTTTGCCTTCTTCCCTCTCAGCCCCACACCTCTCAGCATTCACCTGGAATAACAGTGTTTAGTGAGATCAAGTAAGCCCAGATTAGTCTCACTTTCTAATCCCCCTGTAATAACTGGCTAGCCTGCAAGCAGAGACCAGTGAAGAGGACACCAGGGAGAAAGAGCATGTTAATGGAGAGCCGGACAGATAGATTTCTACAATTTAAAAGATCCAGTGGTGTTATCATCATTAGTCTCTCTCTCTCTCTCTCTCTCTCTCTCTCTCTCTCTCTCTCTCTCTCTCTCTCTCTCT